GGCCTCTAACCCGAAACCAAACAGACAAAACATGACGGCAGAAAATAAGGTTCACATCTGCTTAAACAAAGGGTCTACTGACACTCCTACTGAGACCTTTCCTGCTAATAAATCTGAGTCAGGAGATCAAGGGTTAGGGCAAAAAGTCAAATGTCACTATAAACATCCATTCTGACCATTCACTCGTCTCCTTGTGCTGTTTAACCACTATTGGCCAGTTCAAGAACAACACATCTCCATAGGACAATATTGTGAATATTGACTGTATATATAAAACCATTTAAAGTTTAGGGCCAGTTTTCTATTTTAAATAAATGCTGTTCCTTTGAACTTTCTATTCATTAAAGATTTCAAAAAAGTAATCAGTTTCCACAAAAATGTTAAGCACAACTGTTTTCAGCCTTGCTAATAACAAGAAATGTTTATTGAGCAGCAAATCATTATATTAGAATGATTTCTAAAGGCTGGAGTAATGGCTGTTGAAAAATCAGCTTTGCCATAGAATAAAATACATTTTAAAATAAAAATATATTTAAAAAGAAAAGTTATTTTAAATTGTAATAATATTTCACAAGATAACTGTCTTTACTGTGTTTTGATCAAATAAATCCAGCCTTGGTGAGCAGAAGAGACCTGTTTTAAAAACATAAAAATGTAGTAATGTATATAAATATAGAAGTATAGAAATATAGAGATATATAGAAGAAAAGGTCAAAAAGTTCTTCCTCTAACAAAATTTACACAAACTAATACATCACAACAACACTTAAGTTACCCATCATCAGACTATCATCATAGTACAAAATTAAAGCAATCATGTGGGGAACACAATTACAGCCATCCTTGAACGGCTGACACCCCATTTACAGAAGTTTGCTATATTTACGTATGTGATATTTAATGTCACATTTATAAACACATTTGCATCAACCTGCTTTCTCTTCTCATAATATTAGAAGTTCATGTAAAGTCTTACATATTACAGGCTTTTGGCCATAATGATATCCAATAGCAATAATTAAATAATTAATTAAAACAAATAAATAATACCAATCACTGATACAATACCATGAAGGAACAAAGTTAAAAGATGCATGACAGAGGTGAAGTAATTGCTCTACAGAATGCACTGTTGACCAGACAGACTTCATTAGCTAATGGATCTGCCTTGCATTAATCAATTCACAATTCCAGACAGTCCTCAGAGAGACCAGACTGTCTCTCCTTTCTGTTTCTCTCTCTCTATCTATTACTAACACAGACACGCTTTTGTCCTTTGTCATTTTTGTCTATTCCCCATGGACAAACCCTCAATATCTTCTCAGCCACATATTGTCTCACAAAGTCTGTTTACTGTTCAAGTGTGAAATTAAATGCAGGGGATAATTAAATTAATGAATCATAGGGACAATAAGAACACACATTTGCAAGAGAGAAAGTTGAATTAATATCTCAGAGATGCTAAACAGCCCTCTTTATTTAGTGTATTTGAGTAATATCAGTGTGTTCACATGCAGTTTTCATATCGTGTTTGAGTGCATGTCTATGAGCCTCTGAATGTCCTGTTTTTGGCAGATGGGGTGTCATGTGTTCTACAGGGGGTCTGGACAGAGAACCCCCGTGTCTGTGCCACTATGTGCCATCTGAGGAAAAAGGCCCTCACCATGACATCTCATCAAAAATTCATCATATTCACACAGTCAGGAGGCTTCTACTCCCCCGGGGATGTCTCCCATTATCATAACATTGACTATAGAAGACTATATTTATGAAACCCATTTGACTAAAAAAAGGTAGGGATAAATATATAAAATCTGATTATAATAAATTAAGAATTAACAGCAGGCTGGAGGAACTGTCACGCTATGGGTCCGAAGATGAAGAAGGATGACGAAGATCAAAATAATAGTTTATTTAAGTTTAACTAAGGCAGGCAAAACTGAATCACAATGAAAATGAAACCAAAACTGAGCATAACGGTCACAGGAACCTGGCACATTAACTAAGAGAAATTGAAATAAATCAGGAAATAATTAGGAGAAAGACAGATAAAAATATTATCAGACTTATTTAGTAAACTATTACACGTGGGTCACAGTTTTTTTAAATCAAAATTCTATAAAGTAGAAAATGATTACTTAACTTCGCTTTATTCCTCTATGGGCAAATGAAACTTAAGCCTTAAAGTGTTTGTTAATTCCTTTTCCCCTGACTGTAAGTTATGCAGAGTTTAATGATATTATATTAAGCCTAATTCCATTCTTCATCACGTTGCACAGCCGCTGACAACCATTAAACTCATTCTAAAATTAGAGTGAGGGATTATTATCGAATTATAGCCATGAAACTTTAATAGCAAGAATCCCACAGTAACCTTGATATTCTTTTTCATATTATCACTGGATATATGAGAAAAATGTGTTACATTATCACTTTGACTTGACTCATAGGCTTGGATTAAAGAATCACAAGAGTCCTTCTTCAAACATGCCAATATGTTATAACTAATGTGGTAGTTAAGATTTTTGGTGGGATCATGTGATGAAAGAGCTGGGTCTCAAAGGAGATCTAGCTGCATTCTTACAGGTTACAGGGTCACCTTACCAAGCAGTAGGTACCGGCACAAATACTCAGTGCAACAATGAGCGAGCAGAATGTCATGACCTCAGTTGGTCTGGTATGTTTGTTCAGTGTATGCAACTCGTTGGGCAAGCACAGCTGACTAAAAAGAGGAAAATAGAAAGGGAAACATGGTAATGTGAGACAAATGTTTAAATTGAATTCTTGGTTGAGACAAGTAGAGAAAGATTCAAATGGAAATTTGAAAACAGATTCATGTGGTCACAGATTATCCTTTTAGTTTTAAAAGGGCCCCATTTGTACATTTACAGTTTAGATTTTACAAAAGTATTTCATGGTGCAAAAAAATACTTCTTCCACATCATACATTTATAGACTAACTCACTAACTTTTTCTAAAGGCAATTCGATGAGAGGGATTTTCCTTAAAGAGCAAAAGGCACTAAAGTCCTGATACAAAACCAACTCGTCCAATAGCTATAGTTCTAAGAAAGAAAAAAGCTACGTTGTCAGGCTTGTTGAATGAAGTTTGAAATAGATTGTTTCGGGGAATGATTTATAATTGAGAGCAGAGAAAACCCAACCTCACCAAAAAGAAGAAGAAAAAACTTCATTGGAAAAACTGTGTAAGGCCATTGAATTTAGCTCAGCCAAGCAAACAGGAGCAGGAGAGGTCAGAGTTCATGGAGGGGCAGTCTTTGTTTCTTATGTATTGTCCATGTCAACCTATTCTGCTGGCACATGAAAACCCGATACAGACAAAAAAACATTACGGCTGAAATCAGCTTGGAGCTACACTTACATGCACTGCGCTGCAATTTGATTTAATAAAAATGTTAAATGATAACTCATTTTCTACAGTCCACGCATGTTTTAACTTGTCTTTAGCTCATCATTTGTAACTTACCATGGAGTTAAACTTTGCTAATATGAAATTCTGAAATGGAATTTACTTATAAACAGTTCTGAACATTCCAGAAATACTTCCCAATAAGTGTATGTGCAAAAATTTTAATAACTGGTTTATGGTTCTGATAGTTGTTCCAGCTGGCTGAAAACTAGTAGTAGGTAGCCCTGATACAAACAAGCAGAGACACAGTCTGAATACCAGAACAGATCTGAGTACAAGCTGCCATTTAATGGAATGCATGGACCAGTTCATCGTCTGTTTAAGTACCCTGAAGGAAACGTGGTGGGGAAAGACAGGTGAAAAATTATCCAAATAGATTTAGTTAAAACAAAAAAACAAATTAGTGAGAAAATATTTGCCTTATATCTTCATATTCAATGTAATCTGAATTATTTACATTTGGATAGAAACCTTGCCACACAAATCGTATCTAATCTCTCCACGATGGCATGATTTATAGTTAGCCAATCCAAAAAAAAAAAAAAAAACCATTGTGGTCTGATTTTACTGCAAGGAAGAGCAAAAAACAACATGGTCACTGAAACTTTGTCTCTGCATGTTTATAAGCTGCATATGAAGGGAGTTTCTGTTTGATAGGCCTCATTAATTGAGAGTGAAGTACTTTTCATGTAAGTCGCAATTAACAGGATCAGGAAGCATTTTTGTGGTGTTACATTAGGTCAAATCCATGTGAAAACGTTTCTGAATCAACTTAATATAAAATCTGAATGCCCTGTTTTCTGGGCATGAAAGGAAAACTTTGGTTTGTCTTAAATAGAGAAAATAGAGAAATAGGGATTTTGTTTAAAAAGTACTTATTTGAAATTGATTTAATTGTTGATTAGAGAGTACTGGGAATTTAAAGATATAACTATTGTTATATTAAGAACACTAGGGTTTAACTTAGTCATTTAAAAGTAAAAATCAAGTTTGTTGGGTTGTCTTGTGCTCTCACAGGACCCTGCTGTCATAAGTAATTATATCCTGAGTAAAACTTTTATTGGAAAACCTGCCTCACCTAAAGGCATCCTGTCCTGATGTTTACAATTAAGCACATGTCCAGTTCTTGTTAAAAGGAGAGTTAATCCTTAAATTTAATTACTTCGATTCATGGGTTGAACCCAGGTTGAACCCTAATCCAAATTCCAGGTGAACAAGCCAGAACACCTTAGAAACAACTCTAAATTGCACTAGATTTCACCACTTACCTGCATTCCCCAGTGTAATTTGCCATGGATTAGTGTATTGATTAAATTAGTTTTTCAAATGTTACAAAAATCAACAGATATAAATTGCTCCCAATAAAAATTGCTCATAATATTTGAATTTTATTTATTAAATTAATTTATTATTTTCGCGGTTGACATAACTTTATGTCCATCCAAATAATGTCTGAACAGTGAACAATCTGTGGTTGTATGACAGCCATATGACAGCCATGAAAAGAAGCTCATGATACTTTTACGACAGTGTCAGCAGCGGTAACCATGAAAACAAGTCGAGAACGCTTTCCGACACAAAATGGCGACTTACACACATAGACAGTAAGGACGAAAAGTAAGAAGTAGTCGGCATTTAAGTTTATCATTAGTACTGTTATATTGATAGGCTACATTTCAGTCTTATTTTGAATTTAACGTTTTAACCGTTTTGAGAGGAGACATTATAGAACGGCCATGAGTGGATCTGCGATTCAAGAGAAGGTTGCTAGACTGTTGAGCAGGCAGAATGGGAAACCCGCAATGAAAGCCGTCAAACCTCTGGCTCTTAAGAATGAGGTCGCTAACCGCAAGCCGAAGAAAGGAGGTTAGGACTTTTTCATTTAACATGTGTACATAAAGATCCTCTTAGATCCATGTTAGTCTAATTCTGTTAGTCCATTAGTTCAATGGATGTGCTCTAAACGGATATGACGGTCATCTTCTCGCGTTTTGTTTATTCGCTTGCATGAAACGTTATTCATTTATCCTTTGTCGAAGTTAATACTTGTTGTGAATAATACTTGTAAATACATATGAAATAATAAAAATAATAATCTATTTTTTTAAATGGAACAGTTATTTACCCTTTATACAAAATATTTTAAAACAAGTTTGCATAACTTATGTGTAGGCTACTATCTTGTATCATATTTGATACATCAGACTTTATCTCCCATATAGTGATAGTGAGAATATGGAGCACACGTTTGAAGAGGGAAAAAAATATCCCATATCAACAATATTTTGTATAGCAGTGAGTGTAGCAGACTACTTTCATAAAATGTATATAAATATCAGTTGTGTCACGCTATATCTCCCAATATGTCATAGTAAGATATTTAAATGCTTAGTTTAATTATAAAAGCTCTGTAGTTTTAATTGTGGGGGCAGTATATAATGTTGTATGGTAATAATGGTGATTAAGAAATAAAGTTTCAGTTCAGTCCAGTAGTTTTGAGTCCAGATGTTCATCTTAAAATATGAATAAAAATATAGAAGTTATTCATACATTTACTTAATATGAATCATTAAATATTTTAATATCAACTTAAATCAGCTGTAGTTCAAGTAAAAAGTGTTTTGTATCATTTAAAGGGGTCCTGGATTATTTAATAAACTTTAGTAAGTGTTTAGTTAGTGTGTAATGTTGCTGTTTGAGCATAAAAACATCTGCAAAGTTACGACGCTCAAAGTTCAATGCATAGGGAGATATTTTCCTTTACACAAATCGCTTTTTAAGGACTACAACAAATAGCTGGTAGGGACCACAACAAACTTCTTCCTGGGTTGGTGACATCACAAACCCTAAAATTTACATAAACCCTGCCACCAGAAACACGCAACAAAGGTGGTGACGTGAGGCCATGTTGGGCTGCCTGCTTTAGAGAAGAGGAAGAGTTTTGTCGCTGTTTTTTACACCCCGGAAAAAGTTTGTCCTAAGGCTGACGAACTTAGAGAGGTTAATTTATTTTTAACACTTTTCCTGAACATTATAACCATAACATTTTTCTGTGCTCTGCTCATTTTATGGAGAACAGCCTCCAGAAGAGAGTACAATGCAGACTATCCCAAGTTCCAACAAACATTTTGTTGGGACAATCTGTTGTGTATGGATCACAACTTGTATTATTATTTGTAGTTGTGTTTTTCTATTAACAGTTCCAATTAAAAGCTTTTTGTAGTTGCTATGATAGCTATGATGTAGACGAAGGGCAATGCTTTGCCTCCGCTAGAGTGCTAACTAACGTTACAGTATTGATGTAGTGTTTACTTTAGCTTTTTTAAGACTGTTCACCACCTCTTAGGAAAATTATCCATGATTTTGTGATCGATTACTGTTTGTATTAACATAGTTTTCCGACAAAAATTATTAAATGGTGGATAACATTGTATCTATAAGAAAATGACACAAAAAAACATACCACTCTGAAACGTCCTGTGAAATTGTTTTGAAATCCGTTCAGCACAATCATGTTGTTCATTAACATTGTCAGGGTCTGAATAGAGCTTGAAATGTTTTGAAATTGACCCCATCGTTAATATTTACATCTGAGTAGAGCTCGCGGTTAGAAAGGGGTGTGACATTTCGCGAACACGCACTGCCAATCACAACACACTGGCCCAGCTAACCAATCACAGCACATTTCGGATTTCGTAAGGAGGGGCTTCATCGAAAACAGCGCATTCAACCAGACTGGGGAGAGAGGAGCTGTAATAATGTAAAATATGTGAAAAATAATGCGTTTTTTTTTTAACAATCACGCATGAAATATATTCAAGTACACCCCAAAAACAAAATCAAGACTTCGTAAAAGGGCATAATAGGACCCCTTTAAATCTTTCTAAGCATATACATTTAGCAATTATAAGTAACTTGGTCTCACTCAGTCTCCATATTAAAAAAAACATGATCTGATTGGCTAAACCAAAATGACATGCATGCACTAAAAATTATTTTTGCTTTCCTAAATGGGACAGGAAATACACGTGTTGGTAGTTGGCCCTTTTTTAAGGCAACATCGAAGGCCTGTTGTAATGCATTGTTTTGCTAAACAACCCTTACATGGTGATATAATCTCTTTGTTACAGAGGCCACCTGCGTTACGGAGATGTCGTTGCTGATGGTTTGCTGGAAACAGAACGACTTTAACAATGCACTCTGCTCTAAAGAAGTCTCATCCTTCTACACATGTGTTGAAAAGGTATTGCAGGCATGTAACTCACAATCCTCAGGAAATCCTCCGTAAAACACCCTACTGATAGCTGACAACAATTTAATGGCCTGAATTAACATGGTTTTGATGAATATATGGGAATGGCTAATTGGGATGAACGAAGAACTAGATTTTCTCTGCCATTTCCTGGTCATGGCGAACACGTTTCCCAGTTTTCATGCAGTTTCCTGCTAGACCTTTAGGGTTTGTTTTTTTTACCTTGCTCGTTTCCGTGTTTTTGGCGTCCTCACGCATCTAGCGAGATAATATTTCTGCTAGCATCTACCCTCTAATCTACAGCTTGAATGTTAGCTAGAATTAATTATCTTAAAGCCTTTGTTGAGGAGGAATAGTCATTAAAATGCATGCAATAGTCCTTTTTATTTTATTTTATTAACATTTTCTAATTTCGTTTCTTACAGGCGCAGACCAAGGCCAAAGGACAGCAGGGAACTCAGGGTCGACTTTTGCCTAAGGAAGCCAACAACTTATTAAAACGATTTCCCAACCTGGCCAGTGAGATTTAGGACCAGTAACACAGATTAGTCACAGAATTGACACTTTTATTATCTGAGCTGTATAGATGGGGACTTTAGTCTGAGTGCATTACTGTGCCAGCCATTTGATGAGAACGGGGTGTGGAAAGGTTTTCTAAAAAACGGCAATGAAGCTGTCACTGGGATGCTCGCCAAGCAAATGGGCTGCATTCATAAGGTTTTGAAGGTACTTTTGGTGATTACTACATTTTACTCACTGCACTAGGTCGTCCCATTTTAACAGTACAAAAGAAGAAGCTCAGTTCTCTTCACATACTTAAAGGGATAGTTCAACCAAAAATGCAAATCTGTCTCCATTTACTGACCCTCATGTCATCTTTTGTGCACAACAGAAGAAAGTCGTACAGGTTTGGTATGAGGGTGAGTAAATGTTGATAGACTTTTAATTTTTTTGGGTGAAATGCCCCCTTTAATTATTTTTCTGAGTAATTTGTGTTATTAATGTTTGACCATACCAACATTACTTCCTCAGATAATCTGAATGTTATTGTATTGCTTTTTGGTATTGCTTTTTGAAATCTCCCCTGCATAACTGAGCTGTGACCTGTGAAACCAGAAGATTTATTTGTTTTACAATTTTTCTTCCTGTTTCGTGCTGTCCACAACATAATTAGTCTCAGCCATTTTCAATTATCAGAAAATGGAGATCAAGGGAGAAGTACTCAGTGCCGGATCATGTTACATTGCATGCCATGACAAAGTGTATTGGTTTTGACCATTAAAGCTCTGCAATAAAGATTGAAGTAACTCATTTGTAAACGTATTAACTAAAAAATAATTCACTTTCTATTCAAATGATAGATTTCATGTTTTGATTGATTTTAAACTTTGTTCAACTTTGTGACCATGAATTGGTTTAGCCAATTTAACCATGGCCATCCTGTGATAACACTGCCCACCATTTCCTTGGACTGATTATCTACAGTTGTCTGCAGCGTAATGTGTTTAGACCCCAAAGGAAATGCTGTCTGCTGTTAGACTAAACCTTACTCAATCACGGCATTGTAAATCTGCTGCTGTTGAACAGCTGTCAACTGGACGAACTTTAATCAAGCAACAATGAACAGCCCAAAATACATTTAGATCTAAGACTGAAACAGCTACAGCTCTGCAGAATGGTGTTACCAATGTAAATGCCCCTCAGATTTTATTTGAAATAGTACAAAGTAATGATTACCTCAACCTGTTAAATTTACTAGGCATTTGATGTTATATACAGTAATCCATGCAGTCTCCAGTTCCTTAAGTATAAACCAGATTAAAACCCTCAGAACAGAGTGTGGCAGAATGCCAAGCAATGCAGCCACACCTCTGGGCATCAGATAAGAGCAAACCAACTATTATCATTTGTTTTTTGTTTTGTTTTTTAGCTCATTGATACCTGATAAAATGACTTTTGTTTTTTTTTAGCTTTGATCAAATGTACAAATACTTACATTTTAAGTAATGATGTAATTTTAGTGTTTGGCAAGAAACAAATGTTATTTTATCTGTATGTGTAAAAGACCAACTTAAATCCCGACACAAGTAAACTGGTCCTACAGATGAATGAATTTAAGTATAGTAGAATATGAATAACATGTGTTATTGTGGTGTGGTTAAAGGGAGCCTTTGATCTTTATTCAATTATGAGTAAGTGATTCAGGTATTGCTAACTTCTATTGAAGCTGTATGAATGGTGAACAATGTGGAATGAGGTCTATTCAAGTGCTTGCGTACACAGGTGAACAATGCAAGACATGGGGAGCTCAACCACCTGTGTGTATTGAGGCTCTTGTTTTTAATATATTTAAAACCCAGGAGATTTAAAAGATCATTTTTTCCAAGTGGTTAATAATAGCCACCTTATCAACACAAGCCCTTTGCCCTTTGTTAAGAAGGCTTCAGGAGTTATGGAAAAGAACAGGAATTCCTTGTCTGTCTGTTTCATATTTGCCATGTGACCGCAAAAGGCCTGTGTTTTCTGTTTTTAACCTTTAGGCGCATTTTCGGGGGTGCTGTTCAAGGGTCTGCTGACTTATTCAAAAATCCATTCCAAAAACACATTCTATGCAGATAACTTGAATATTTTTATATATGAACATGGTTTAAATTTCCTGAATGAAAATATATCCTGTAATGATTTTACGGTTTGGTGAATTGGTGCAGGCTAATTAGGATAAATTTGTACAATCTGGTTACATTTTTGTACAATCTGCTTAAGTCCCACTGATGATACTTTTTTCTAAAAATCTTACATTTCTGTATGAATCGCAATGTACACTGTAAAAAAAATGTGATTTTAATAGTAAAAGATAGGAAAAGAAATGTAAATTGACATTGCCAGAATTCCATACGTGACACTTCACATTTGATGTATTTTCATACATTTGATGATGTAGAACTATTCTTCTTAGTTTTTTCCAATCAGTACATTAGGTTTTTATGTTACATTAATGTTTATTCCATTTCTTTAGTGTCATATGTGCATGATGGTGTTTACTATTCGTGTGAATGACACTGTGTGCCTTTTATATAGACTATTAGTATTTACTTTCTCAGCTTGTGATGATCTTTGATTCATCGTGTGAATTTCTCATCACCACCTGGTTTTGTTGCTGTCAGTGTACAAAGGCACAAAACAGATATTATTATAGGTTGGTAAATTTACTGTAAATTTAAGTTAAATCTGTTGCTACAATATTTTTTACTGTAGCCTAAGTTTCTGGCAAGAGCTGTTGTGGGTTTTTACCCTAAATTTCATGGCTTTTTTTAGTTTTATTTTTTTTACAGTGTATGAAATTCATATGAAATCGCCGCCTCATAAAATAGTTAGGCCTATATTTTCTCACGAGATCAGGTTGGTCCTGTAACTGTCAAGAGATTTTTCTTTCTCATTAAAGTGTCATTAATACTTTGTCACAAGTAGACTGACAATCTTTTAAACTAAGTCACGATGAGACAGAAGCTTGATTATATCGACATATCTTTTCTTCCATATGGTGCTCAAGTTGTTTAGCATAATCTATCAATGTTATTTGTTTATTAAATCACAGCAAAGCAATTTAAATATTTTATATATTATTTAATTTATTTAATCTTTGTCTACCAAATAAAAGTCAGCGAGGCCTATTGGCAAGCAGGTCTACTGATTAGTTTCTAGTGAAATTGCGAAAGATAGTCACCATTGGATTACTAATTAAAGCCAAGTACTAGTAGGCTAATAGGAATAATTGTTAAAACGGCTTGCCATAGCCTCACTGCACTGTGCTCCATAAATGTTTATGTCCTATAATCATCTGTAGGCTAGTACTGAAGGCTGCAGGAGCGGCGTCTTCTTTCTTCACCTCAGTGAACGCAAACCTCAGTCAGACCTACACACGGGAGGGGTGACAGTCGTGTCGGTGGACTTTTAGAAGTTTACACAATATTGTTTTGTTCTATCTGATCATTTTCAATGTTTCTTCTTCTGGAACATACATTTATAAACATTTTGAGGCGGGAAGGCGTCCCACTTTCCCTGTATGCCCGCGGAGAGCGATGATGGGACAGTTGTGCTGGATGTATGGTCAATGACAGGATGGATATCACTGGGATCCTCTCTATCGCTGTTGTATTTCGCTTCTCTGTCGGTGTCTACGGCGAGGTATGTAAACTCAGTTTGCTATGACTAATAAGTTCTTAGTCAGCTCACAAACAGTCAAACTGACTGTGATTTATTTATTGACGCGTTCCTTTAGTTTTAGTAGAGAGGAGTTCAGACGGCGACAAAAAGCTGTTTTTCAGGCTAGCCTAAATACGTGTACAGTAATGTTTTTTTTTTTACTAGTCTGTAAAATGAGATTGTACATTTTTCTTCTGTTAAATAAGTAGTTAGAATGGAAGTCGACACCCGAAAGGTTTACAATTTTGATCCTGCATATTATTATGACTCTTTTTGACGTCGTCACTGTGACATTAACGCCGTGTAGCTATCACGTGAAAGTGTGTGATTGTTACAGAAGGAATTATGCAGTCTTTGTTCGTTTTTTTTTGTAGCTGAGGTGTACTTTGCCCCGAATACATTTAATCTATTTAAAGTATCTAAATAACAAACACGAGATAACGACAGCCGTGCATGCATAGGCTATACACGTCCCTTATGCCATTTGTTTCCATAATATGTTGCGTTATAAGTTTTTATTTTGTTTAGGCCTATATTGTTTTTTTTATTATCATAATGTCCCTACTTAATTAAAAAAAAAACTATTTTAATATGTTCTTGTTACAGTTTAAGTATAGCCTACATTTAATTACTGGGGATATTAATGAACACCATGCACTTGCTATAGAGTTAGGAATAGAGTTTGATTTAGAGTTAGTTGCATGCAATTATGCATAATTTACTGCTATTTCTACAGTAAGTAGCCTACATGTAACAAATGTAACATGAAATAAAATACAACTGTAAAATAAAACATTAAACCAGTCTAAGTGGGTTTGCTGGTTTCAGATGGTTTAAGATGATCTTCAGCTGGTCTGCTGTGGCCTGACAAGCTGAAAAGTGTCAAAAACTTCACTAAAACCAGTCAACATACTTGAAAGCCACACTGTTAAGATGTTTAACCAGGGATATATGAATAAACAAAACATTCATGAACATAATAATAAAAACAGAACATAATTACTTGGGAGAATATACTTAAGCTGTACATATCCTGTGCAAGCTGAGCACATCACACAACCAAAGCTTAACCCTTCTATTGTCTTCGGGTCATTTAGGTTTTGGTATTGGAGTCAGGCATTGCGGCATTTTCAAGAACATCTAAACTAAAACATTTAGAGCAAATGTTCAGTTATATATGTTTACTGTTTAATATTTTATATGAAGGCCTAGACAGGGCTTTGACCAAGCCAGGATTAGGCCTTAGTTTAATTAGAACATTTAAATAGCTTTTGTAAACATGCCTTAGAAAAAATACTGGTGTGCATCTTGAGACAAAACAGTTTCTTAGGACAATAGGACAGTTACCGTATGCTTGCTGTTATTTTTTGTCTAGTTGTTCCTCAAGTCTGAAGGTTTGAGAAACTTGCATCTTATTTGTACTTACACCCTCTACTGCAAGCGTCCTGTCCCATCGTTTGCTTGCAGTTTAGTGAGGAATGAGGATGAGAGAAAACTAAAGTGTGATGCTCATTCCCTTCATCACCCAGCTCACACAGTAGCAGCTTGATGGCCATGAAAGTGTTCTTTGATCTCAGCTGAAGTACTGCTAAAGCATAACTGCTCCACACTATTAACTCATGTCTTTGTGACATTTTCCTGTCGTAAAGCAACGGATACCTTTAATAGCCTTCCTC